GCTGGTGAAGTCTGTGTTNTGAGTATGAGGGGCTTCTAGTNTGAGACACAATTCAGTAGAGATAAGCAGACATGTGTCTTTTGGTTCACCTGTCGGGGAGCTTAATTCGACTCCTCCCCTGGTTGAAAATCCTGACTGGGCTCGACAGCTACTCGACTGAAGAACGCTTGGTCAGACTCCTCGGTAAGGTTCTTCTTTGCAAATACACAGAGTGTTTCATCATCAAGGAAGTTGGAGCATTCATTAGACAGCGTGAAGTTGAGGCGTTCGGTAAGTTCCTCCCTTAGGTTCGCAGCAAGCACCTTAGAGGTGGCTGACAGACAAGCGGCCATTGCCTCATACTTTCCACTTTGGAACTTCTTACTTAGTGCTTCGTGACTGATTTGGTTGATTTGGTCAAGGTACTTTAAGATGATATCTGAATTCATTCCCTTTAGCTTTTCTTTGGCCTTTCCATATGTCATTGTCCTTATACTTTTGAGAGATTTGTCATATAGGAGTAGGAGTTGATCTTTGGAAATGGATGGCGCTGGTTTTCCTGCGCCGAGAGCACCTGGTGTACCTGGTTTTGCCAGAACGGCACGCGGACCTGGTGGAGGTCTTGTTGCCCTTTCCCCAGATCGTCTGCGATTGTAATCACGGTTAGCTCTATTTATATTGGTGCCGCCTCGGAGTATTCTATCCTCGTATGTTGATGGCGCCTGTGGAACAGCACCGGGCTTGTAGGGCTGTCCGTAAGCTGCCACATCAGTATCCGAATCTGTGGAATAGGGATCTGGTGATAGATCGTCCTCTCCTAAATGAGCCTGGTCTGCCTGAGGCAGGTACTGTGCTAGTGCTGGTTCATAATTTGCAGGAACAGCTCCAGGACTGTATTCAACATCATTCGCCTGTTCTTTTATGTGCTTTACATACACGTCCCAAGATTTCATCCTAAGATGCAGGGTCTCAACATGGTAATCCTTGGAGGACAGTGTGTTGACGGTGTTCATGTAGGAGCTGTAGTTGCGTAGAACCTTTTGTGCTTCTAGCATGCGGCTTAGAAATTGACCGTATTCTCTGGAAGCTTGGGTCAATAGTGTAGTAACATTTTGGGCTGTGAACTGTCTTTTGTGGAAATTGATTGCCCTAGCGTGCAGCATATCAATATGTTTCTCTCTGTCAAAATCAGGTCCCATCTTGTCTTGCAGGATATTGACTATCCGTTCCAGAGCGGTTACCCAATGCAGTACGCAGCCGCCTGACAGAATATCATAGTCGAGACTTAGAAGTTGATTCATGAGGTCTTCCAGTTCCTTGTCAGTGCCGACAGCATTGGCGCCTATAATTACTTTCTGCATCCACTGAAATACGCCATTTGAGACTTCTTCCTGTCCGAGATGTTTTTCCAGTAGCTCGTACTGGAGGTTAGTTGAGCTCAGTCTCTCCAGTGATTCTGCTATACTGGCTTTGAAGCTTGTCTCAAATCGTTCAAGCGCAGATGTAACTGTGTCATCCAGCTGTTCTCTGAGCTCCTTCTGAGTGACATTTCGTCTGTCCTCAGCTTCCGCCGCTTCCGCGACTAGCTTTGCAACGCGTCTCTCGGCGGCCTCTTTCTCGCCACTTTCGGACGTCATCTCTCCCCCTCAAAGCAAGCGCGGAGGCGAAAGCGAAGAGAAAAGAGCGCGAAGCGGGTAAAGAGAAGAGAAAAGAATGAAGCGAGGCTTCACAGGAGGCCGAGCGTCGGCCCACACCTAGAAAGTTAGGATAGTTTACTAGCTTCCTAACGTCGCTATGACGTCAGTCAAACTACTATCCAGCAGGTGCACTGTCCGGCGACTGTGCAACCTCGCTGAGCCTGGTGCTACCTGGCACGTCGCTGTGACGCTAACCAGACAGACACCACAGACACAGAAGAGCGCTATGCACTCTGTGCCTGCTTGGCAGTCACTCCTTCAGTTCGCTGTCTATAAGACTTGAAACTGGATTAGAATGAATTAAGGAAGGGAAGGGAAAACTAGCAGGATACGCAGTAGGAGCGCAGTGNGGTAAGGTGCACTGCAACATCAAGATGCAGTTCACTGTTCACTGAAGATG